CTACAATTAATTTTATTCACATATATAATATTAAAAGCAATTTATTATTGTTTTGACAATATAATTTTTTTATAAATAGTACGACATGTTCAATACTAACCATCATATTTCAAGCCCCACAAATTTTGTAACATTTTTCTATTCACTTAATAGTTTCTAATCTTCTTTTCTTCTTTTTGCGTATTCTTTTTTTTTTGTCAGTTCTTTCTTATGTTATGTTTGTAGATCTGGATATTTTTTAATATTTTCGAAAGTCATATGTTAAGGTGGTGACTATCTTAAAGTCAGTTAAAATATTCGAGGTAAGATGTCATTCTTTCCAGGTTTAGTTTGTGTTTGTTTATTTTTATATTGTTTCCAACGCACAAAAATTTGATTATCTATCTTTCGTTTATAGTTATTAATGAAAAATTTATTGCACAAAAAAAAATGGGAATGAAAAGAGTCTAATTCAAAAATAGATAGTTTGACAATGGATATGAAGTATAGTTAAAAATAATATAGTTTTATTTTTTTTACAGTGTGACAATTATTGTATAGATGGGTGGTTCAAATTCTTGAGTCTATTCACGAACAACCCAACCCAACAATTGGTTTGGAGATCGTTCAAGAGAGAACGACATGGCATATAGTTTTTCAAACATAAATGTTTTTTTTTCAAACATAAATATTAATAGTATTAAAATTATATTTTTACAAAACTATCATTAAATTCTAATTGTATATTATCATATTTAATTCCTTAAAATATAACTGTAATTCTTATGCTATTTAATAAAATTGGCTTTATTTATCCCTAATCAAACAACAAATATAACCCATTTAATCATATACATTAATCCACCCTTTAATACTAAATTGTAACCTAAATAATATAAATTGTATGATATATGTTCTCCATTCAATGCATGTAACTCCCATAATTATAATTAATAATTTATGCATTTTCTAATGTTACATTTAAATACTAATTTACACAATAAGATTAACACAATAACACCCTCTATTTTCATATATTTATATATGATTATGAATTGTGAGCTATTTAAATAGCTACTCAGTTTTTCATAATCACTTATTAGAATTCCGAATCTCATATAAATTTTTCTAAAAAGATATCCTACATGCTACACATATATAAAATAAATTACTATGAAAACATAGTCTACACATGTGCCAAATTTTATTTCTTCTTTCTTTAAGATAAGTTATTATGAAATTTTTATTTATTAATGTAGTATAAATTGCAGAAAATATATATTTAATAGTTTTAGCAGTTTCAATAATTACTACGAGATTATATATATAAAAACATATTTTACTATCTTTTTAAAGTTGAAATTAACATATATAAGATGTTCTAATATATTTGTTTTTAGCAATATGTGCCATATTGTCTTATATTGTTTTATTTTTGCACTTTAAAATAAATATTTAACATCATGTTATTAATAAACAGATTAATGCGTATATAGGGGTGTCAAAATGGGTAACCTAGCCCCTAACTCAACTCATTATCTAATGAGTTTACAGTTGACCCATTAAAATAATAAATTAATTAATAATCAATATAAAAACAACAATATTCATCATCATTTGGTGGGAAAATCACGGATTTACATTTTTAGCAAAAAAGTTACAAGTTTAGGTTTTTGGCGGGAAATTTGCGGATTCACAATTTTTTGTCGCTGAGATTTGCGGATTCACACTCCGAGTATACATTGTATAAATTATCTTTTAATGATATTTAACTTGCCTACATTTTAAATAATTACTCCAACATTTCGTATATTTAAAATCAATTTACATGCACCAAAACATGGTCAAAGAAACCTTATGATCTAATGTTCACTTTAATAAAAAGATAATGCAACATATAAAAAAGATTGAGAATTGAAAGATATGAAGGAGAAAATAGATATAAACTATCTTGAAGACTAATTTATATTCGAGTATATTATATATAAGCCAATATAAGGTAAAAAGAGAATAGATGTTGGGAGACGATGAGTGAATCATAGAAGATAAAAAAAAAGTTGTAATAAAAAATGTGAGAAATGTTTTACTACTTTGAAAGATAATGAGTAATGATTATATTTATATCTTTAAAAGAAAAAAAAATTGAATTGAATCACCTATATTTTCTATATATCTATTGGTTTATGTATGTTTCAATAAAAAATAGTTTAAATAATTAATTTGTACCACAGTTCCTGATTAACATTATATTATTAATTAATTAACGGATATATTTTTCTATTATATTTTAACAGTATATATAGATTTAAATTAGGAAAACAATACAATTTGATGATGTTTGAACTTTGATCTCCTAAGTGCGGTTGCTAAGTTTTGGTGGAGTTCTAATGGCGAGTCGAAAGAAATGCACTGGATGGCTTGGAATAAGCTGTGTAGTAGTAAATCGGAAGGTGGTGTAGGATTTCGGAATGTAGATGATTTTAACTCGGCGTTACTAACAAAACAATTATGGCGTTTGATTACGGTTCCTGATTCACTTTTTGCAAAGGTTTTAAAGGACGGTATTTTTGGAAATCCAATCCATTGGATAATATAAAATCATACTCTCTTTCTTATGGTTGGAGAAGTATATTGTCAGTTAGATCTCTGGTTATTAAAAGAGTCGGTTCTGGGGCGTCCATCTCAGTTTGGGAGGATCCATAGATACCAGCTCAATTCCCGAGACCAGCAAAAAGTAATGGTTCAATTATTAACCCATCTTTGAAAGTTAATAGCTTTGTCGTCACCCGGTCAAATTTTTGGAACATGGATCTCTTGAGGGAGCTCTTTGATCCTGAAGATGTCGCGCTGATTAGTGTCTTGCCTTTGGGTGCGTCAACCAAAGAGGATACCCTTGGTTGGCATTACACTAAATCTGTAAAATATACGGTTAAATCTGGTTACCATACGACTCGGATAGAGGATTTGGATGTCTGTTCATAATCTTTTGGCCCGAATATAAAACCTCTAAAAGCATATGCTTGGAAGGTGCAGTGTCCACCTAAGCTACGGTATTTTTTGTGGCTAATTTTATCAGGTTGTGTACTGGTTACGGAGAATCTGCGAAAGAGAAGTATAAATTGTGATACCGGATGTGTTAAATGTGGTACCATAGAGGAAACAGTTAACCATACACTTTTTGAATGCCATCCAGCGAGACAAATTTGGGCTCTTTCTCAAATTCCTTCGGTCCCGGGGATTTTCTCTGCGGCTTCTATTTACGAGAACTTGGATCACCTATTTTGGAGAATACCTTCAGAGGTAGAATCATCTTCTTATCCATGGATAATTTGGTACATTTGGAAAGCAAGGAATGAAAAGATCTTTGACAATGTGGATAAAGATCCATTAGAGGTCTTATATTTAGCGGAGAAAGAGGCGCAATCGTGGCAGCTAGCTCAAAATGAGCTTCATACTTATAACCATGGTTTTTTAGATAATGAAAATCGAAACGGAGTGAGGGAAATATCACTGTTTATTCAGGATATCGTTGTTTCATAGATGGATCATGGAAAGGAACCGATACTTTTTCAGGAACAGGATGGTATTGTACATCATCAAATGGAGAGATGTCAACTATGGGAGTTGCCAACATCCGTAGAAGTCTATCTCCTCTACATACAGAAGTCGAAGCTCTTCTTTGGGCGATGAAGTATATGATTGGTGCTGACAACCAAGATGTACCTTTCTTTACAGACTGTTCAGATTTGGTGAAGATGGTATCTTTTTCAACCGAATGGCGGCTTTTTCAGTGTATCCGGAGGACTTTCAGAGTGACAGGAAAGAATTTTCAACCTTTTCTCTATCTTTAATTCCTCATAGCTCAAATGTAAAAGCAGATAAATTGGCTCGACAAGTTCGTACCGAACCGCTTCATATCACATATTTAAACAACATTCCCAGGAATGGTTATTTTGAGCTTTAATTTAAGCTGTTGACAAAAAAAATGGTAAATAATATCAAAATTTCATATGTTTTAAGTGCTTGCATGGAATTTATCTACTAATTTTTCAATATTTAATATAAAACTTATGTAGACAAAAATATATCAACAACACTTAATCCAAACAAACTAAGTGTGTAGGTTATTATTTTTATCAATGAACAGTAGAATTTGATCTATTATTTCGAGACAATTGGTAATAGATGTATTATCACAAAAAAAAATTGTGGTATATATTAAATTTTTTTTTATTATATAATGTTTTAAAGAAAAAAGAATAAATTTTATTTTATTAGTTATTCACAAAAATACTTCAAAAATTGAATATATTTAAATTATTTTCAAAACATAATAACAATACAAATGTACTTTCCATATATTATTTTATGTAAACTTCGATCTGTATACAAAATAACTGAATGCATAACCCACGCATCGCGTGGGCAACTTTCTAGTATAATATATCTATGAATTAATAATTGATCATGGTCAACCAATATCAATTTAAAAAGGGTTTAAACTTTTTACCATCAATATTGCTTTGATATGATTTCTTGTGAGCTTGTCATTTCCAATAACAATTTCTTCTTTCTCAAACCTCAAGAGCAGGTCCACGAGATCTTCACTCCCTTGTTGTTTTTCCTTATTATGCAGATCAAAGATTTGTTCATAGAACGCATCGAGATCAAGAAAGCTTTTTTCTCTCCGCCCTTGCAAACCAGTGAACCGGTCGATGATCCAACCAATGTACGGAATAAAATCTGAGGCAGAGAAACTTCCCAACATCTCGAATGCTTCACGGACTAACTTGTTGAACCTGTCATTGCTAAGCACAGTTCCCTCAAAACTCACACCAAATGCTGTCCTACATACTACACTTGTGGTTAAAGCAAGAAACGTCTTGTTCAAGTTAACCGGATTTTTCAGAGAAGATGATTCAGAAATTGAATCTATCACTTTCTTGACCTCCTCGTCCTTAATGGGTTGAATCGATTGAATTTGTTTAGCACTGAAGAGTTCTTGAGCACAGAGCTTCCTTAGTTCTTTCCAGTATTCATTATAAGGAGAGGAAGATATGTCCCGATTGTTGTAAGAGAGCTCTCTCCCCCCTGAGGAGTGAGAGAGGAATGAAGTAAGAATTTATAACATTTTGTATGTATTGTGAGATTTATAGTACCTGCTAAGGAAGGACGGCTACAACAATGGAGGTCATGGTCTCTTAGAGCTTGTTTTGCTGTTTCAGAGGAAGAAAGTACGACCGTTGGGACTTTTCCAAGCTTCAAAAGCATTACCGGACCATAATTCTTTGAGAGATTCCATAAAGACTGGTGTGGTAATTCTCCGAGCTGGTGTAAGTTTCCGATGATCGGAAAACCTGGAGGAGATGGTATTCGTAGATGTTTCACTTGATATGTGTGTTTGAAGGCGGTGAGAAGAAGAAAGATGATTAAAAAGAGAAGTAAAAGAATCCAAATGGTAGCCATTTGTATATTATTTTGTTTTAGTGAGTTATGACTAGTGAGGAAAGCTCATGGGTTAATATACAACTTAATTTGAGCAATGCTCACTTCACTAATTGAATTGATGAAGGCCACATGTGAATAATTACAACATAGAGCCGAGCTACCCTACGATATCTAACGTTTGACATTTTTTGTTTCTTTTTTTCTATTATACCACAAACGTTACCTCAATAATGACTTGAACAGTGGAATTTTATAGAACTTTTGGACACTTCAACTACCTTGTCATCATCTGTTTAATAAAACAAATAATGAATAAATGGAAGTGGCCCAAGTGGGGTTCACGAAAGATAGAAATAAGCATATGTGGTCCTTTGTTTTACGTTAACTAAATGAGAAAAATCCTAGATATTTAGAGATAAACTAGAACCTAAAAAAACAACGTCATAAGTTACTATTTGTTCCAATTTCCTTGAACTTTCGTTTGAAAAACTGAGTCTTGGGGCATTCGTCAAATTTTCTCTTCACATGCAATTTTTTTTTTTTTTTATGGTATCAAAGTTATGCATGTTCAGTGTATTTACTGTAGTTTTATAAGTTACTGAAAATTTAACTATTAAATCTATATATGGTAGCACGATGATTTGGACTTAACTGAAGACCAAAGACATAAACTCGTGAACGATTGGATTCATATATTTCACCGTACGTATATACTGCATGTGGACCCAAGTGTTTCATACGTGACAGATTTCTTGTCAAAAAAAAGGAAAAAAAAAAACTTCAACCCCCGAATTATTTGTTTGGAAAAAACTTGGAAATCTGGTGATAAATTCATTAAGAAATCATAAATGAAATGGGTAAACAAAATTTAGAAGCGAGGACAACTTCCTAAACTGGTTCATAAATGATATATATGAAATTCAAATGGCTCCCAACCAACATGCTGCATGCACTGCATTCTTACAAGAGTTTCTCGACTTTACATGAATACGAGATGAGAATATCAAAGTTATCACAAGATTATAGCTAGTATATCTGTTTTAATCTATAGTCTGTTTTGGCTTTTTTCAATGAGACTTAAAAAAATATCTTTACTCATGGTTCACATTGACATCACATAACTTCGTCTTCTAGCGACTTAAATCAACTATTCTGCAACTACACTTCTGCTACCAAAATATTGCAACATGTTAATAGAGTCGTGTCAAATTTAGGATGGAATTGCGATCTTAGTGGTTCGTCGCATTTTTTTTGGTAAAATTTAATTACCAAATACCTGTCGTTCAAAACGATGCAATTTGTTTTTCTTTTTATTAGAGATTAAATAATATGAGGAGCAAGATGGATTTTGCAAACAAATTGTCGTTAAAGCTAATTTTCAATAATATTTATTCTATCACAATTCTGTAGTCAAAACGGTGCTAAAAGTTGTGACATTTGTACAAGATTAAATCAACGACGCAGTAACATATGTTGTTTTGGTTAAATAAAATTTTTATCCATTAAAAAACTATTGTGACATTGGTACCATCGGAAAACAATAGTGCTTGAAATGAAATATAAAAGTTGGTATATAAAGATACACCGGATCTACTACATTTGTGCAAATGTATATTTCTTACATCCTGTATTTGGTCATACTTCCACAGACCACAAAATTATTTAGAAGTGTCACCAAATTGGTAGTGAAGTCAGTTTCACTTGCTTTTTTTTTTTAAGTAAAAAAAATACTGAGATGAGATATGATAAGCTCAGCACTACTGCACTAGTATGATCTTGCCTCATGTGGTTTATCAATGTTGTTTTGACAAGATATGTCTAGCAATATATTATCCGATCATGATTGATATCCGCATAATTTACAGTACCTGCCAATGGTGGGCACCTACAACAATAGAGGTCATCAGAGGAAGAAACTACGACCATTGGAACTGTACCAAGCTTCAATTGCATCACTGATTCACTGGAGTACCATACTTTTTGGAGAGAGATTGATGTGGCAATTCTCCAAGTTGATGCAAATTTCCAATGATTGGGATCTTTGTAGGGCTCAGAGGAAGTTTAGATTTTGAGTGTTTGATCAGTTTTAGGAAGATTGGGATCTTTGCCATTTTTTTTTTTATCTTTTAATTGTTTGGTCTGTGTGCTCTGTTTCTCAAAGAGTTTTAATGAACCAGTGTTATATAGAACTTTATTATCTTTTGCTCAAATTTAATATAGCAGTTATAACTATCCATGTCAAAAAATATGTGTGTTACATTGTGTAGAAGATAGTTCTTTTGAAACCTAATTGTAAATTTTCATATTGAGGATAATTATTAAGTTGACGTGCATATTACGTTACATTTCTTTCTCTGTGTGTGATTTGTGAGTTTCCTAACATCTTCATGGCCAAAAGCAAAATTTCACAAATTAAAAAGTTTCTCTTTTACATTTCCTTGAACACATACTAATTGGCTTACTAAAGAAACAGAGGAGCATCAGATTGCATGTTCTGTTTTAGGTATAATCGATGCTACACTTTATTCTGTAATCGATGAATTTAGTTCAGTTATCCAAATACTTCTCTGGTACAAGTACAAGGTCATTTTTCTTGTTGACAGTGAGTCCAGGAGCTTCTTCCATGTCGATATCTTCAACCTTCATGCCTTCTGGTAACTTCCAGTTAAAATGATACAAAAGATTCGCAAGACCAAACTCCACCATTGTTGTCCCCATATACATTGCAGGACACATTCTCCGGCCGCCTCCAAACGGTAACAACTCAAAGTTCTGTCCTTTTGTATCAATGTTACTATCAATAAACCTCTCTGGAAGAAACTCCTCTGGCTCTTTCCAAGTATTTGGATCACGCCCGATAGCCCATACATTGACATGAATCTGTGTCTTGGGTTGCATCGCGTAGCCGTTGATCTCAAACTCAGACATTACTTCTCTTGGGAGAAGAAGAGGTGCTGGAGGATGTAGCCTCCATGTTTCTTTAATCACCATTTTCAGGTAATGGAGCTGCTCTATGTCTTCGAAGCTGATTAGTTCCCTGTTCCCAAATTTGTTTCGGATTTCGGACTGAACTTTCCTCAACACTCGTGGGTTCTTCGCAAGTTCTGCCATCGCCCATGTCATGGTTTCTGCAGAAGTTTCTATTCCCGCTAAAAGAATGTCCTGTTACAAGAAGACATTACTATGTCAGATTGTTACACAATTTCTTACCATTGGATTTTGAATACTATATTAGTTACCATCAAGATTGCTTTAATATTGTTTCTTGTGAACTTGTTATTTCCAACAAGAGTTTCTTCTTTCTCCAATCTCAATAGCAAGTCCACAAAATCTTCACTTCCTACTTCCTTTTCCTCTTTATGCAAATCAATAACTTGTTCATAGAATGCATCAAGATCTCGCACGTTTTTTTCTCTCCGCCCTTGCAAACCAGTGAACCGGTCGATGATCCAACCTATGTACGGAATAAAATCTGTAGCAGAGAAACTTCCCAACATCTCGAATGCTTCACGGACTATTGTATTGAATCTGTCACTGCTAAGCACAATTCCCTCAAAACTCACACCAAATGCTGTCCTACATACTATACTTACAGTTAAAGCAAGAAACTTCTTGTTCAAGTTGATCGGAGTCTTTAAAGAAGCTGATTCCGCGATTGAGTCGATCAGTTTCTTGACTTCCTCGTCCTTGATGTGTTGAGTTGAGTGAATATTTTTAGCACTGAAGAGCTCTTGAGTACAGAGCTTCCTTAGTTCTTTCCAGTAATCATTGTAAGGAGAGAAAGATATGTCCCGGTTGTTGTAAGAGAGCTCTCTTCCCCCTGAGGAGTGAGAGATGAATGAAGTTACAACAATTCAAGACTTTAGTATATGGAATGATTTATAGTACCTGCTAAGGAAGGACGGCTACAACAATGGAGATCATGGTCTCTTAGAGCTTGTTTCGCTGTTTCGGAGGAAGAAAGTATGATTGTTGGGACTTTTCCAAGATTCAAAAGCATCACTGGACCATACTTCTTTGAGAGCTTCCAAAGAGACTGATGTGGTAGTTCTCCGAGTTGATGTAAGTTTCCGATGATCGGAAAACCAGGAGGAGAGGGTATTGGTCGAAGTTGCCGCCCCTTTGCGCGTTTGAAGGCGGTGAGAAGAAGACAGATGATTAGGAAGAGAAGTGCTAGAATCAAAATGTTAGCCATGTGTATTTTATTTTGTTAATGTTATGACACATGAAGAAAGCTCCTGCCTTAATATATACAACTTTGGAAAATGCTCATGTTACTAATATAATAGATGAAGGCGACATGAAATTTTTATAGTAATAAAATTATAATAATTGAAGCCTACGTTTACTTTGACAATTTTTGGCTTGTTATTTACAACAAAAGCATAGTATACGGTATACCACATTAATAACTTTTGAATCTTGAAAAATCCATAGGAGTTGGACATTATAACTACTTTGTCTAATGAAAATAATTAATTAATGAAAGTGCTTTCATATAAATATTTGACGTTAACACAACAATCATAATCCAAGATTTTACATTAAAAAAAAAATGTTAGAAGCTTACGGTTTTTAGACAAAATTGTAAACTAGATGAAAAAAAAAAAAAAAAAAGACAAAATTGTAAACTCATTCCAATCCAGTTCGATTTCACCGTGTGCATATACTGCTTATAGACCACTTTGGTCAATTGGACTTGAACCAAGTGTTATAATGTGGTAGAGTTTTCTATTCACACAAAAAAAACTTCCTCACTCCCAAAATCATTCGAACATATGGGAAAAATTTGGATTATCTTTCCCTAACTTGCTCAACATGCAACACAAACTCGAGATCTACAATATATTACATGGATAGGAAGATGAGAATACCAAAACTGTTAAAAGATTATACTATTATAGCATATCTTAATTAGTAATTTATCAATCATATACCTTCCTATTAATTTTATTTTACTCTATGTATATTTAAAGATATCTTGATTCATGGTTCACATTGCATGCAATAAGTGCGCTGAATTGTAACACATGACGAGATCGCATAATATCCTCTTGCATTGGATTGGAATAAAACATTAATATTGCTAGTTTAATTCACATGGCTCCATCTGATTAAAATACAAAAAAAAAAAGAAAAAAAAAGAAGCAAATTACACAATTCAATGAGCGTTACTCTGTTGGATTCATATAATATTGACATCATTTTTATAGCTATGCATAGGGAAATGAATTATTCTTGTTCTCAACATATTTTTTAATAACATTGACATTGTTTTTATATTTTATGTATGGCGAAACGCTATATTCTGATTTTTAGCTATTGCGAAGAGACGTCTCTAGCCCATTTGAAAAATATTATGGTCGTCATTTCTTACACTCAGGAGTTCGAGTCCCTTCCACGTGTATGTCTAAACAAAAAAAAAAAACACAATTATAGCAAAATGACGTATTATTTATTGTTCTTAACCAATTTCATCACCAAAACGGCAAAACATAACTGAATTATGAGTTTCGATTGAACGTTTCCACATTAAATATTTAAGATTGGTACTTGACTACAAAATATAACATGATATTTAAATATTTAAAATATTTAAAATTCGTAAAACTTATCCCATAAATTAATTTTTAGATATCAAAGATGTATATACTGAATCCCACCAAAAAAAAAAAGATGTATATACTGCAAATTTATTAATTAATAAATCTCAAATAATGTCATATTTTGCTCCATAAATAAGTTACTAAATAAATGAATTTAAATAATATTTTAGCATAATTAGTTAATAAAAAAAAGTCAGGTCAATAAATCACTAAAAAGGTTGGTTGATTATTTCCAAGATTTTTTTTTTTTTTTTGTAATTTGCCTTTAAAATATTTCCAAATGTTTACGGACTAATAATTTACTATTAAGATTTAAATTTGCAAATATAAAATATTTTAGAATATATTTGTATTTTAGTTTGACTGTTATGAGGAAAATAATTATTAAAAAAAAAGTTTAGTTAACTATGACAAATAAGGAAAAAAAAAATCCTACAGCCATAATGAAGTCCCATTATCTGACTTTTAGAAAAACCAAAGTTTAAAGAGAAAAAAATTAACGGTTCACAGTTGAGACTTTAGAGAGAAAATAGGAAGCTAAAGTGTGATTGGAAAAATACTAGGTTTTAAAGACTTTTTAAAAAAGCTACAACATTTAAAGTCACCAATCAGCCCGAGCTCAGATATTGCTTTGTAGTCACCATCGTAGCATAATCCATCTCAAAATTCTTCAAAAGACTTTCATAATTCGTTTCAAAGTCAATTATTTGATCAAGATCCAACTCTTGATCGAATTCACCCAAGTTTTCAGGTAAAACATTGTTGTTGTTGTTGTTGTTGTCGGAAATCAATAGCATCTGATCCTCATCCAAATCGGATAAGTGAATATTGTCCTCATACAGATCTCTGCGAGTCACCAATTCTCCATCTTCAACAGTTTCAGCACCAGATAACGGGTTTTGATTAGTCGTCACGATAGAGAAATCGTCCATCTCTAAGTTCATCGATAGAGCTTCAGATGTTGTCACATAATCAAAGATTTCATCAAGATCAAACTCTTGATTGCAACCATCCAAGTTTCCAAGTAAACCGTTGTTGTTGCTGCTGTTGTAAGAAACCGCTAGGGTTTGTTCTTCAGTGTTCTTGTTCACAGTTACGTCATCTTGAATGCATAGACTTGCAGAACACGATTGAGGATTTAGGGTTTGTTGTTGATGAGTTCCGTGTAAAACACCCTTCTTCTTCACGTCCTCACTATCTCGATGATTTTGCACTCCATTGAAACGCAACTCCTTCAGATCTTTCAACATCTTAGACATTGAGTCCATCGCCTCTCTCAGTTCCTCCGGGTCCTCTGATTTTGAAAGCCTCTCATCTTCCCACCAAAACCCTAACCCTAGACCCTCCCGAGGATGCTGATTCGAGAGGAAAGCGGCAACAACGTTATCGACAGAGGAATGGCCAAAGCTGTAGAAAGAAACATTGGAATTGGAAGAAACCGGAGTCGCTATGATTGCAATTTGTGCATCGGAGAGAAGACAAAGCTCAGAGGCTTTACTATAGAGACCCTTACTGCGTTTTGAGAAAGCAACTGCTCGTGAATCTTTATTCTCTATCAGCTCTATAGAAATCTTCCTCTTCACGCCACCCATGATGTTTTCACAATTTTACAGACAAAGAGAACGAGAAAAATACAGAGAGATTTGTGTGTTTGCCTGTTGCGAAAGAATATGATATGGGTACTCTCTATTTCTAATCGTATATATAGACCTTAGAGCATGATTATTGGTAGTATCTTAGAAATAAATCTTAGGAATATTTAAGTAATATATTTATAAAAGTGATAGGTAAGAGATAGTATTTTTGGGTTAAGATTTTTGTGTGATTAATGGTAGGTTCTTAACATGTGGTTCTTAAAAAAAAAATATTAATATAAAAATAAAATTTATACGTATCAACATATCACTTTTATCAAACAGAGAAGACGTAGAAAAAAAATATTAATATAAAAATAAAATTTATACGTATCAAAACATATCACCAATTGACCAATAAAATTTATACGTATTAAAACATATCACCAATTGACAAAACATATCTAAAAATAAAATTTATACGTATCAAAACATATCACCAATATAAAAATAAAATTTATACGTATAAAATTTATACGTATCAAAACATATCACCAATACGTATCAAAACATATCACTTTTAACCAATCACAATATGACACCTTGCAACATCTTAAGTTAAGAAAAACATCTTAACTTAGATACAAATCTTAGTTTTAAGATGTTGGTTTGATTTTATTTAATCAACTTTAATACTAAGATATCTCTAAGATGTTGCCGTTAATCATGCTCTTAGTGTGTTGTGTTATTTCCTTTTTCTGACAATTCGCTAATCAGTAATTAAACGAACTAAGTATAAATGTTTTCCTTTTTTGAAAGTAATTACTCTTAAACCACCTGAACCAAGCTGGTTCAGTTAAACAATCGATTTTATATTTCCTTTTTTCTGATAATTGAACGAATAAGTAAACTGTTTCCTTTTCTGAATGTGAGTTTATTTCCTTTTTACGATAATCCACTCAAAACTTAACCACCCGAGACGAACCAAGGCTGGTTCAGTGACCAGTTAAACCAAAACTATTTTATACTGGCCAACTGAATTTTGAACACATGCAAACCAAGTTAGCTTAAGGATCTAGATACTTCGTGGGGACAAGTAGAAGCTCGTTTTTCTTGTTGACAGTGAGTCCAGGAGCTTCTTCCATGTCGATATCTTCAACCTTCATGCCTTCTGGTAACTTCCAGTCAAAATGATACAACAGATTAGCCAAACCAAACTCTACCAGTGTTGTCCCCATATAAACAGCAGGACACATTCTCCGGCCGCCCCCAAAGGGTAACAGCTCAAAATGCTGTCCTTTTGCATCAATGTTACTATCCATAAACCTCTCTGGGAGAAACACTTCAGGGTCTTTCCAGGTATTGGGATCACGCCCGATAGCCCAGACATTCACATGAAGCCGTGTCTTGACAGGAATCGTGTAGCCGTTGATCTCAAATTCAGACATTGCTTCTCTTGGGAGCAAAAGAGGTGTTGTAGGATGTAGCCTCCATGTTTCTTTGATAACCATTTTCAGGTACTCAAGCTGATCTGTGTCATGGAAGCTGATTCTTTCTTTGTTCTTGATTTGGCTTCTGATTTCAGATTGAACTTTTTTCATCACTCGTGGATTCTTCGCGAGTTCTGCCATCGCCCATGTCATGGTTATTGCAGAAGTATCGATTCCTGCTAGCAGAACATTCTGTAACAAGAACATATAAACATTAAATTTTCAAATTTGTCTTACAATTGGATTGTGAATCTATGACTAGTTTACCATCAAGATTGCTTTGATATGGTTTCTAGTGAGCTTGTCATTTCCAAGAACAGCTTCTTCTTTCTCCAACCTCAACAGCAAATCCACAAAGTCTTCACTACCTTCTTCCTTTTCTTGTTTATGCAGATCAAACATTTGTTCATAGAAGGCATCAAGATCTCTCATGCTTCTCTCTCTCCGTCCTCGCAAACCTGTAAGCCTGTCGATGATCCATCCGACATACGGAATGAAATCTGAGGCAGAAAAGCTTCCCAACATCTCGAGCGCCTCACGGACTATTTTATTGAATCTGTCACTATTGAGCACAGTTCCTTCAAAATTCACACTAAACGCTGTCCTGCATACCACACTAACAGTTAATGCAAGAAATGTCTTGTTCAAGTTGATCGGAGTCTTATGAGAAGCTGACTCCGCTATTGAATCGATCAGTTTTTTTACTTCCTCGTCCTTCATGGGTTGAATCGAGTGAACTTGTTTAGTATTGAAGAGTTCCTGAACAGCGAGCTTCCTAACTTCTTTCCAATAATCATCATAAGGAGAGAAAGCTATGTCCAGATAGTTGTAAGAGAGCTCTCTTGGCCCTAAAGAATGAATCAAGATTCAAGATTCAATAAAATTTCAAATTCAAAATTCAAGTTTCAAGAAAATTCAAAATTCAAGATTCAAGATTCAAGATTCTGGATTCAGGATTCAATATTATCAAAAGGTGAGATAGAAATCAATCAAGATTCAAGATTCAAGATTTAAGAAGATTTAAGGGTTTTGTTTGAACAGAGAAACAAATATGTAAATTTAGTACCTGCCAAGCCTGGACGACTACAACAATGGAGGTCATGGATTTTCAAAGCTTGTTTTGCTGTTTCGGAGGAAGAAATTATGACTGTTGGGACTCTTCCAAGCTTCAAAAGCATGACAGGACCATACTTTTTGGAGAGACTCCATAGAGACTGATGTGGTAATTCTCCGAGCTGATGCAAGTTACCGATGATCGGAAAGCCAGGAGGAGACGGTGGTTTCCGTTGATAACTCCTCCGCTTCTTGTGGTTGAAAACGGCTACAAGAATACAGATGACGAAGAGAAGTGACAGAAGCCAAATGTTAGGCATTTCTTATTTTATGGCCGCTAAAGGAACTCCATAAATTATATATAGACTATAGTACATTGCTGTCTTCAATTATTTTAAATATATATTCTCTGTAACGTTAACTTAGTTTTATATTCGAAAGAAATATCTTTTGTCCTTGAAAAGTTTGTAAAAGTTAATTAGTGTACTCTAAAACAAATAATATATACGTAATTTACATGATTTTTATTTATTAAAACTCCCCACGTTATTTATGTTTATATTGGAAATTATAAATAAAAAACTTTGGCAGAGAGATAGAGAGAAACACCGTTGACGAAGTCAAACACGAACAACCGTCGATTTGAGTCAGCTTTAATCTCAACCACACGATCTTCTCATCTCTGGCACAAGTAGAAGTTCATTTTTCTTGTTCACAGTGAGTCCAGGAGCTTCTTCCATGTCGATATCTTCGACCGTCGTGCCTTCTGGTAACTTCCAGTCAAAATGATACAAGAGATTAGCTAGACCAAACTCCACCATTGTTGTCCCCATGTATATTGCAGGACAGATTCTCCGACCGCCACCAAACGGTAACAACTCAAAGTTCTGTCCTTTTGCATCAATGTTGTTATCCATAAACCTCTCCGGGAGAAACACTTCAGGGTCTTTCCAAGTATCAGGATCACGACCAATAGCCCAAACATTCACATGAAGCCGTGTCTTGACAGGAATAGTGTAGCCGTTGATATCAAATTCCGACATTGTTTCTCTTGGAAGCAGAAGAGGTGTTGTAGGATGTAACCTCCATGTTTCTTTGATCACCATTTTCAGATACTCGAGCTGATCTGTGTCTTCGAAGCTGATCATTGATCTGTTGTTCCCCATTTGAGTTCTTATTTCAGATTGAACTTTCTTCATCACTCGTGGATTTCTTGCAAGCTCTGTCATTGCCCATGTCATTGTTATCGCAGAAGTATCGATTCCCGCAAGAAGAACATCCTGTATCATTCAAAACATATCAGAATCTTTGTTACTACTACTACTACTACATATAGGATTGCTAGCTAAATCTTGTTTAAGTTACCAGCAAGATTGCTTTGATATGGTTTCTTGTGAGTTTATCATTTCCAAGAACTGCTTCTTCTTTCTCCACCCTTAAGAGCAAGTCCACAAAATCTTCACTTCCTTGTTTCTTTCCTTGTTTATGAAGATCAAACATTTGTTCAAAGAATGCGTTGAGATCTCTCTTGCTTCTTTCTCTCCTTCCATGCAAACCCGTCAACACATCGATGATCCATCCGACATACGGAATGAAATCCGAGGCAGAAAAGCTTCCCAACATCTCGAGCGCCTCACGGACTATTTTGTTGAATCTGTCATTGTTGAGTACAGTTCCCTCAAAACTCACACCAAATGCTGTCCTGCATACTACACTTACAGTTAGAGCAAGACACTTATTGTTCAAGTTAACTGGAGTCTTCTGAGAAGCTGATTCGGCGATCGAATCGATCAGTTTCTTGACCTCCTCGTCCTTAATGGGTTGGATCGAGTGAACTTGTTTAGTACTGAACAGTTCTTGAACACAGAGCTTCCTTACTTCTTTCCAATAATCATCAAAAGGAGAGAAAGCAATGTCCAGATAGTTGTAAGAAAGCTCTCTTGGTCCTAAATAACGATCAAGATTCAAGATTCATGGGGTTTCTTGAATTCTATGAAACAGAGGAACAGAAATTGAAACTATAGTACCTGTCAAGCTTGGACGAGTACAACAAAGGAGGTCATGAACTCTCAGAACTTGTCTTGCTGTATCCGAGGAAGAAACTACGACTGTTGGGACTCTTCCAAGCATCAAATGCATCACCGGACCATACTTCTTTGAGAGTTTCCATAGAGACTGATGTGGTAATTCTCCGATCTGGTGTAAGTTTCCAATGATCGGGAAGCCAGGAGGAGACGGTAACTTTCGATATTTCCGATGCTTCTTGTGGTTGAAAACGGTTACAAGAATACATACGAGGAAGATAAGTGGAAGAAGCCAAATGTGAGCCATTTCTGATTTGATGGCCGATGAAGGGAAGGCTCTACAAATATATAAGCTCATTGTTGTCTTCAATTATTTTCTTAAATCCAGCTACGTGTGCGGATAATATTCATTTTAAATAATTTTATTAAAATAATACTATAAATTTATAATATTAAGTACGTCAAAAAAATAATTTATTTTAATTTTGTTATATAAAAAACAAATTTATATGCAACCAATTAATATTTTATAAATT